TTGGAATAAACCGAAATTTTACAAAAGCGCTTTTATTTTTTTCTGAGCATATGAAGAGATATCCCAAAATAAATGTCACTTCATCATTGCCACTTTTTCTCCACTACAAGATGCTACCATTAAAAGATCCTTATGGAAAAGTGATCTATGTGGAATTTTGCTGAATTTTTGATATTGTGTATAGGGAGTCGTCCTTAACAAAAGTGATCATTGCGCTAATGTTCAATACCCAACAGTTTTCAAGATATCAATTAAAAACTTTTTTAATTTGATACACATAGATCACTTTTCCATAAGAAATGTGTCCTTTAAAATCTGACGTTTCGTCTCTAAATTTTTTATTTCAAATTTCAGGAGCTACACTTGGCCAATCATAAAACTGGTATACGCATTTTCCTATTGTTTTGTGTAAATTGACCTTTTTTATCACCTCAACAATGATAGAAAGAGTCAAGTCAGTGTCATATTTAAACCAATCATAACATAAAAACATGTTGCATTTACTTTTGTTCAGCTTTGACGTTGACAAAAACTGTCTGACCTAAGCAATGTAAGTTTCTCAGACCAGGCTTTTTGTTGTTAAGCCTGACTCACACTAGGCATATTTAAGAAATTTATATTGGCTGTTACCAGTTTTATGTTTGGCCAGGTGTACTGATGTCCCAAAACCTAAAAAATTGATCAATGAAATCGACTAATGAGAACCTGGCTTTAGACACAGGAAATACATGTACTTATCTTGTCCAAACCACTTGACATTCTTGAGAGCAACTGTATTCTCTACCTATTCATGTGACCAAGCTTTCTGTGCCAGAAATCATCTGAGTGCTCACTTACACTAGAATCAGACTGCTGAACCTTTATTTTTAGAGATATATTGGTACTTAACTGATAAAAACCGTTTCGCTCAAACCCTGTGGCTAAAACTTGGTTTGACATGTCAATAATTTTTGCTCCAGACTTTTTTTTACCTTAAGTACCTTGTGGGCTGCTTGCTCTATACACTGAGAGACTGCCTTAAAATATTTAAAGGCAAAAGATAAGCTTGTGCAAGGATAATGCTTATATAAAATCTGATCAGACGCAAATACAAAGAGACTTTTTGAAGCAAACTTTAACTGAGGAAAGAAAAGGGCGAGTCAGATATAATAATCAAGTACATAAAGAGCATTCCAACAATCACCAAAAGTCACAACAGCCAAAAAACTGAATTCGCAATTAGTAAATCTGGATTTTTTCTATACAAACTTATGCTCCCTAATATCAAAACAAAGAGACTCCATTGCACAAATACAGAAAATTAGCTCAACTTTTGTAATAATTTCTGAAACCTGGTTGCATAAAGATATACCTGATAGTCTAATAAATGCAAAATTATTCAGTACAAAGACATGACAGAGTTAACAGAAGGGGTGGAAGTGTAGTTATATATGTTAAGGATTTTTTACTAAACTACAGGATATAGTAGGTGACGAACATCGGAAATGCCCAGCCGCCAGAAGATATTGAGACGATTGCTTTAAATATACAGATATCGACTTTGCCTGGTCTGTGACTATAGGCCTCCAGATATTTCGTTGGTGAAAAACCAAGACTTGATTGACTATCCATAAGAAATGAAAATATAATAATATTAGATTTCAAATATCCTTTTATTAACTAGACCTCACTAACATTGACTCAGTGTAATCAGGCTTCAGAAGCATTTACAGATTTTTACAAAAATACTAGCTTGAAGCAGATTGTTAACCTCAAAACTAGATTTGGAATTAATCAGTCTTCAATGTTGAATCTGTCGTTCACGGGTGATACAAAAATGTTTTCGAGAGTCTCATCGCTTCCACCAGTAGGTACCAGGGATCATGTTGTAATACATGCAGTTGCCCAAGTTAAACTCAATGCACAGTATACACATAGGGTAGAAAAAAGAAACTTTTGGAAAGCAGATTATGATACAATAAACGAGCAGATATCGCAAACAACTTTTTCGAAAAACCTTAATAATTTCATGGATGCAATTTTGGGCATTATTGATAGAAACGTTCCGATAAAAAAAGTAACAACCAATTCCCAAAATCCACGGGTTAACGAAATGACATTTAGAAAAATAAAAAGACAGTTATGGGACAAATAAAAAAGAGTTACTTAATACAGAAGAAGCATATCAAGAATACAGAAGGTACAGTAATGAATTAAGAAACCATTGAAAAGAAGCACAAAAACAGTATGAAATAGAACTTTTGGGCAGATGAGCAGATAAATATATTTACTCGTACATCAAACGTGCAATCGATTCAAATACAACCTCAATAACCTTGAAAACAATTTATTGATAACACACCTGAAAGAAACAGCAAAAACCCTTGCCCTTCAGTTCGAGCAATAGATAATTTCCCCAGCTTGCCAGTAGATACTAGGTCAGTAAATGAAATAAGAACCATTAATTTCTCAACAGAAGTAATGAACGATGTGTTAAAATATGTAAAGAAAAACGCTAGTCCGGGGCCAGATTTAATTCCAGTTCTCTTCTTATCAAGATGCGTTGATCGATCCCCTTAGTGAACCTTTAACAGTGGCTATGAACGATTTTTTTTTGCGGAATGGAGTGTTTCCAAGAGATTTAGTCTGAGGCGATCGTCACTTCGCTGTATAAAAAGGGCGACAAATTCAGTCCAGAGAACTTTAGACCAATAAGCCTTACTTGTGCTTTATGTAAGACAATGGAAAAACCAATTGCTAAAGAATTAACAACCTTTTTGTTAAAGAACAATGTTATACTAAACAGTCAGCTTCGTTTCCTACCACAGAGATCAACAGTTACAAATTTGTTGTCATGTTTGAACAAATGGACCCAAGATGTAGATGGGGGACGGCGAGTTAATGTTGTCTATTTGGATTACGAGAAAGCATTTAACATGTTGCCTATAGAAAGAATATTGTACAAGTTAGATCATTTTGGGATACGTGGTGAACTTTTGCAATGGATAGCTTGTTGTCTTCAAAACAGAACATATGTGGTCGGTGCCAAAAACACACTTTCACCTGGTCATAATGTGCGTAGAGGTGTTCCTCAAGGTTCAGTGTTGGGGCCATCACTGTTCATAACCTATATTAGTGATTTATCATCTATCGTCTATAGCTTACTTTGCTGATGACACTAAATTGTTCGGCAACCCTATGCAACATCAGATTGAAGTAGCAGACTTAGGAGGAATACATGAATGGACTAGAAAATGGATGCTGCGTCTTAACTCCAACAAGTGTACAGTTCTCCATCTGGGAAAAAACAATCCTCATATTCGGTATCAGCTTGGAGATTCTTTGATATAAAGTGTGGAACAGCAAAAAGATCTTGGAATTTTGATCAGTAATTATTTAAAGTGGGAACCTCACATTGAAAATATTGCTATACACTCATTTACCTTATACAACGAGCATTCTGTAATACCTCAGTGGAAATGGTATCTAAACTGTATAAAACCTATGTTCGTACCAAAATAGAATATGCCTCTTCAGTGTGGAGTCCATATTTTGATATTGAAATCCTTGAAAGAGATGAATGACAAAAATTTCTGATGAAACCAGACATTTATTATATCCGAAGAGATTAGAAATATTTCAAATATCATCTCTAAAAGAAAGACGAAAACGTGGGTACATGATCCAGGTTTTCGAAACTCTTTCAGGCTATTATAGCCCATTAATTGAGCTCTCATTATTCCATCTCAACGAAAGAAGAGAATTGCGGGGACATTCAGAGAAAAAAAAAAACAAGGAAAAGAGCCACCTGCTGATAAGAAAAAACTTTATAACAAATCGGGTGGTATATAAGTAGAACTCGCTTGAGGAAGAAACAGTGACAGCTGCAAGTGTAAACGCATTCAAGAATAGACTAAACAACAAGCTGCAGTCATTGAACAATCAATTAATCCATTATATTCAACAGTTTATCACGCGCAATATTCTTTTGATAGTTGAACATTAAAACAACCATAATTGAAAATAGAGCAATAACATTCTGTCACATCCAAAGCACTTAATTTTATTTTTTGTAAACTTTTACCTGAACCGCTTTGACCTCTTTCGGAGTATGTACATTGATGCAGTCGAGCCCGCTGACTTTGGATCAGACGTTGATTCAATATATTCACCTGTAATCTGACCCAGTACTCCTAGACCTACAATAATTGACCTGTATTCTTCCGGCAACCCTGCCAGTAAGAGAATAATGACCCACTCATCTTCCACTGTGAACTTCTTTTCATTTAACTTATGTGATCCTAAAATAATGGTGTCACAATATTCTCCTACTGAACTACAATCTTCTAACTTGATAGTTACTTAAGTCCTTGAAAGACCAACCTTTCTTGTGACACCTGAATTTTCAAAAGTTTTTTCAAAGTTTTGCCATGCATCTTTAGCTTTCGTAGCAGTCTTCAACTGAGAATAATTCAATTTATCCACAGACAAAATTATTTTTGAAAGGGCTTTCTTTTCATCTACTTCAGTACTTTCGATAACTTTCCACAAGTCATCTAATTCTAGAAGTGCCTTCATAGCAAACTTCCACTTGCTATAATTGTCCTGACTGGTAGGGATTTGTCAATTGACACGAAGGTTGATGAACTATTTGATTTACTGATTGACTTTTTTGCATATTTGGGCCCATAACCTATTAGAGTTATTTTGTGGAATAGTCAGAATAATTAATATACAAACTAGAACACTTTTATTTCTCGAATGACACAGCAAAAGCTCTCACTAGTTGACGTTACATATTTAACTATGACTACTAACTAACTGGCATAAGCTGGTAGGTATATGTCTATTACATAACAATATCCTAAACTAACAGTGTTTCATAGGTGTAAAATTTATATTGATTTCAAGATACATACTTCAAACTTTTCTCTATTAATTTATGTAGTAAACTTCAATACAAAATTTCCAAAAAACAAATTTTTATCAAGTTGAACGTTACAATTTTATTATTTCCACAGGGATTCAACTATGGTCGACTTCAAGTCAGGCAAAGTAAAACTTCTAATTGCAACTTCGGTAGCTGCAAGAGGCCTAGACGTAAAACAATTAATCCTAGTTGTCAATTACGATTGCCCCAATCACTACGAGGACTATGTTCACAGGCAAGCAACATCATCCAACATAAAAAAAAAAACAAAATTTTCACTGATTGATTTATTTCAGATGTGGCAGAACAGGTAGAGCAGGAAACAAAGGCTACGCCTACACTTTCATAACCCCAGAACAATCCAGATATTCTGGCGATATTGTAAGAGCCTTTGAATTGGCCAACGTAGCAGTTCCTGAAGGCTTGCGCAAATTATGGGACGAATACAAGGCGAAACAAGAATCTGAAGGTTCATAATTATTTGACTTATGAATAGTGAACTTTAATTATGAATGATTTTTTTAGGCAAAAAGGTTCATTCTGGTGGCGGTTTTAGCGGAAAAGGTTTCAAGTTTGACGAAAACGAAGCCGCAGCTGTTACCGAACGCAAGAAATTCCAAAAAGCTGCTCTGGGTCTTGCAGACAGCGATGACGAAGACTTGGAACAGGATATTGATCAGCAAATTGAGAGCATGTTTGCTACCAAGAGGATTGTCAAGGAAATTAAGGCACCATTTGGTAAGATTCAAATGTTAGTGGTAATTCAAAAATTGTATTATTTTTTTTAGGAATTAGTCCTGCAATGGCTGCAGCTGCAGTTGCAGGTAGTACAGGTTCAGCCGTTGACAAGTTAGAGCTTGCCAAAAAACTGGCTTCCAAAATTACGTTTACAAGACACAGCAACTTTGACACTAAATTTGCCACTCAACAAGCGGCAGAATCGATTCTTAAAGGTTAGTGTTTGGGTTATCTAAATGACTTCAATTTTACATTTTTTTTATTAATAGGTAGTAGCTCTGCTCTTCCAATAACCGCCAAAACAGTAGCGGAACAACTGGCGGCTAAATTGAATAACAAATTGAATTATCAACCGAAAGATGACGATGATAAAATTGATGACGATAGTGAACAGACGTTTAGGAAATACGAAGAAGAATTGGAGATTAATGATTTTCCTCAACAGGCTAGATGGAGAGTTACGTCAAAGGTAAGAGTATTGATTGATTGCAAGAAGGTTTTCTGGATTAAAAATATTGAAACTCAAAGTGAAGACTGAGCATGACGTTTTATGGAACAAGCACAATATACACCATACTTGTGAAGAATTTGAATTTGAAATAGATTCTCAATATATGAAATGTTGCAGAAATTGATGCAATTCTTGTTGTAGTCTGTGATGTTCAAAACCCACTATGTATAAATGTGAAACTTTTAATGAGATTTAAAGTCATAACGATAGCTAGAAATATTCTTCTGACCCTCAGTGAGCCAATTTAAGGTTACAATTACTCTATTTCAGGGCTAAAGGCGATTTTAGAGATTTATCCGTTTTCTTCAAACATCAATTTTTAAGTTTGTCTCCAAGCTTAGATTTCACTTCCACTCAATTCCACTCTAATTTCTGCAAGTTTGAAGTCTCTGTGACGACTGGAAATATTTTTCAAAGGTGATTTCAGGAATTTTCTCATGTTTCTTCAGTTTCTTTGTATCTGAGCTTTTAATCCACTACCGGTTCATTTTACCTCATAGAAGAGACTCTATTTTATAAATTCCTAAGCCAGGTTTTCTATGAAACAAGACAGTGGCATGGAATATTCTTCCAAAAATTTAATAATACCCAAATAAAATATCGATTTTCATGCTATATCGCCCAATATAAAGAAATTCGCCGCTTATTATCACCCAATTTAGCAATAAAACGTACAAAAACATGAGAACATCACCTGATTTAAATAAATATTCCTATGGAAACTATCTTTTGTTAACAATTAAATTGTTAATTAGGTATTTAAATTAAAACATTACTTTTGGAATAATTTTATTCAGTAACATGTTTTGATTAATATGTGTATGTGTGCCTTATCTTGTATCTGAGCAAAAATATGAATGATGAATAATTATTCACCAATTTTCAAGCTTATTAAGAAAAAAAAAATCAATGTATTTTTAATTGTGATTACCTAAACAAACAAAAACACATTATTAACAAACAGGTCAAAAATCAACACTTGATTAAAACAACATTTGGCAAACAAGTATTTTTTTTATTAAATTTAAGTCCAACATCCTTTGATATTTTATAAATATTTATTGTTTATAGGAGGCTCTAGCACAAATCTCCGAATACTCCGAAGCAGGCATCACTGTGCGAGGTACTTACGTACCGACAGGTAAACCGCCTCCTGATGGTGAAAGGAAATTGTACCTTGCTATCGAAAGTACTTCCGATATGGCCGTGTCCAAAGCCAAATCTGAAATTACCAGGCTGATAAAGGAGGAATTGTTGAAGTTGCAAACGTCAGGGCATCATATGATAAATAAGAATAGATATAAAGTTATTTGAGGGGGTTTGAGAGTGTTTAGTTGTGGGAATTTATTGAATATAACTTTTTACACAGAGTTGTGTTTTATTTTAATTATAATTAGTTTATGCCGCCATATAAAAGCAGAAACTAAGTGGGTAAACTTTATCTTGTATGCCAAAAGAATGTACCTATGTATACTTATTTGAATAAATTTTTTTGTGTGAGGCTTCTGCAGTTTATCAATTTTATTATAATCAGGCCTATAATGTATCATTTTCTATTATTTTAACAGCAGCATTAAGTTATCTGTCACTGTTTATTCTATATGTCAAAATAGAGATGGAAATAGATGTTGAGCCTTAACAGAGCCGTTAAAATAATGGGACAGGATAGATCATAGGCCCGAATATTATCAAAAATACTGAAAAGGCTATATACAAATATTAGGAACAATTTGGTATGGATTGTTCAAAACCCATTTATCTGAAACGTTCTATAATAGTGGAAACTCCACATTGGGCTCACTTTGTGATGGGCTTGGTTGGGGCAACCTTTGTCCTCAACTCTTATCCCTTCCAGCACATCTTTGCAAGTTTCCACTTCTTTTTAGATATTTCTAGGTATTTTTAGGTATAGAAATTTTCCTAAACGAAAGGTAAGTGATGTGTCGATTCTTGTTAATTTACATTAAAATGAAATTTATAACTCAAATTATAGAAAAATGCACCCTCATACAAGGTATAATTATTCTAAAAATTTAATGACGGAAAAATTGTGAAACTTCTGGGACCAAAAAAGGAAAATTAGGAGCTCATCGTATTAAAATTTCAAAAGTTTCCAGTTGGAAACAGCCAGAAGAGAAATTCATGAAAATCAACTCTAAAAACCGAAATAGTTATGCAAAAATGCAACCTCTTACATTTTATTATTTTTCTAAAAAACTAATGAAGGGAAAATTGTGAAACTTTTGGGACAAAAATGAGAAAATTAGGAGCTCATCCTATTAAAATTTCAAAAGTTTCCAGTGAAAAACAGCAACATAAGAGAACGTTTAAAACCAAAACTGTGCAAAAATTCACCCGCTTACATTTTATTATTTTTCTAGAAAACTATAATCAAGGCAAAATTGTGAAGCTTTTGAGACAAAAATAGGAAAATTAGGAGCTCATCGTATTAAAATTTCAAAAGTTTCCAGTTGAAAACAGCCAGAAGAGAAATTCATGAAAATCAACTCTAAAAACCGAAATAGTTATGCAAAAATGCAACCTCTTACATTTTATTATTTTTCTAAAAAACTAATGAAGGGAAAATTGTGAAACTTTTGGGACAAAAATGAGAAAATTAGGAGCTCATCATATTAAAATTTCAAAAACTTCCAATTGAAAACAGCAACAAGAGAAATTTGTGAAAATCTACTTGAAAAACGAAAATTATGCAAAAATGCACTCCCTTACATTTTATTATTTTTCTACAAAATGAATGAAAGGAAAATTGTGAAACTTCTGGTACCAAAAGAGGAAAATAAGGAGCTCATCGTATTAAAATTTCAAAAGTTTCCAGTTGAAAACAGCAAGAAGAGAAATTAATGAAAATCAACTTTAAAAACCGAAATAGTTATGCAAAAATGCAACCTCTTACATTTTATTATTTTTCTAAAAAACTAATGAAGGGAAAATTGTGAAACTTTTGGGACAAAAATGAGAAAATTAGGAGCTCATCCTATTAAAATTTCAAAAGTTTCCAGTGAAAAACAGCAACATAAGAGAAAGTTTAAAACCAAAACTGTGCAAAAATTCACTCGCTTACATTTTATTATTATTCTAGAAAACTAATCAAGGCAAAATTGTGAAGCTTTTGGGACAAAAAGAGGAAACTTAGGAGCTCATCGTATTAAAATTTCAAAAGTTTCCAGTTGAAAACAGCAAGAAGAGAAATTTATGAAAATCAACTTTAAAAACCGAAATAGTTATGCAAAAATGCAACCTCTTACATTTTATTATTTTTCTAAAAAACTAATGAAGGGAAAATTGTGAAACTTTTGGGACAAAAATGAGAGAATTAGGAGCTCATCCTATTAAAATTTCAAAAGTTTCCAGTGAAAAACAGCAACATAAGAGAAAGTTTAAAACCAAAACTGTGCAAAAATTCACTCGCTTACATTTTATTATTTTTCTAGAAAACTAATCAAGGCAAAATTGTGAAGCTTTTGGGACAAAAATAGGAAAATTAGGAGCTCATCGTATTAAAATTTCAAAAGTTTCCAGTTGAAAACAGCCAGAAGAGAAATTCATGAAAATCAACTCTAAAAACCGAAATAGTTATGCAAAAATGCAATCTCTTACATTTTATTATTTTTCTAAAGAACTAATGAAGGGAAAATTGTGAAACTTTTGGGACAAAAATAGGAAAATTAGGAGCTCATCATATTAAAATTTCAAAAACTTCCAATTGAAAACAGCAACAAGAGAAATTTGTGAAAATCTACTTGAAAAACGTAAATTATGCAAAAATGCACTCCCTTACATTTTATTATTTTTCTACAAAATGAATGAAAGGAAAATTGTGAAACTTCTGGTACCAAAAGAGGAAAATAAGGAGCTCATCTTATTAAAATTTCAAAAGTTTCCAGTGAAAAACAGCAACATAAGAGAAAGTTTAAAACCAAAACTGTGCAAAAATTCACTCGCTTACATTTTATTATTATTCTAGAAAACTAATCAAGGCAAAATTGTGAAGCTTTTGGGACAAAAATAGGAAAATTAGGAGCTCATCGTATTAAAATTTCAAAAGTTTCCAGTTGAAAACAGCAAGAAGAGAAATTTATGAAAATCAACTTTAAAAACCCAAATAGTTATGCAAAAATGCAACCTCTTACATTTTATTATTTTTCTAAAAAACTAATGAAGGGAAAATTGTGAAACTTTTGGGACAAAAATGAGAAAATTAGGAGCTCATCCTATTAAAATTTCAAAAGTTTCCAGTGAAAAACAGCAACATAAGAGAACGTTTAAAACCAAAACTGTGCAAAAATTCACCCGCTTACATTTTATTATTTTTCTAGAAAACTGATCAAGGCAAAATTGTGAAGCTTTTGGGACAAAAAGAGGAAACTTAGGAGCTCATCGAATTAAAATTTCAAAAGTTTCCAGTTGAAAACAGCAAGAAGAGAAATTAATGAAAATCAACTTTAAAAACCGAAATAGTTATGCAAAAATGCAACCTCTTACATTTTATTATTTTTCTAAAAAACTAATGAAGGGAAAATTGTGAAACTTTTGGGACAAAAATGAGAGAATTAGGAACTCATCCTATTAAAATTTCAAAAGTTTCCAGTGAAAAACAGCAACATAAGAGAAAGTTTAAAACCAAAACTGTGCAAAAATTCACTCGCTTACATTTTATTATTATTCTAGAAAACTAATCAAGGCAAAATTGTGAAGCTTTTGGGACAAAAAGAGGAAACTTAGGAGCTCATCGTATTAAAATTTCAAAAGTTTCCAGTTGAAAACAGCAAGAAGAGAAATTTATGAAAATCAACTTTAAAAACCGAAATAGTTATGCAAAAATGCAACCTCTTACATTTTATTATTTTTCTAAAAAACTAATGAAGGGAAAATTGTGAAACTTTTGGGACAAAAATGAGAGAATTAGGAGCTCATCCTATTAAAATTTCAAAAGTTTCCAGTGAAAAACAGCAACATAAGAGAAAGTTTAAAACCAAAACTGTGCAAAAATTCACTCGCTTACATTTTATTATTTTTCTAGAAAACTAATCAAGGCAAAATTGTGAAGCTTTTGGGACAAAAATAGGAAAATTAGGAGCTCATCGTATTAAAATTTCAAAAGTTTCCAGTTGAAAACAGCCAGAAGAGAAATTCATGAAAATCAACTCTAAAAACCGAAATAGTTATGCAAAAATGCAATCTCTTACATTTTATTATTTTTCTAAAGAACTAATGAAGGGAAAATTGTGAAACTTTTGGGACAAAAATAGGAAAATTAGGAGCTCATCATATTAAAATTTCAAAAACTTCCAATTGAAAACAGCAACAAGAGAAATTTGTGAAAATCTACTTGAAAAACGTAAATTATGCAAAAATGCACTCCCTTACATTTTATTATTTTTCTACAAAATGAATGAAAGGAAAATTGTGAAACTTCTGGTACCAAAAGAGGAAAATAAGGAGCTCATCTTATTAAAATTTCAAAAGTTTCCAGTGAAAAACAGCAACATAAGAGAAAGTTTAAAACCAAAACTGTGCAAAAATTCACTCGCTTACATTTTATTATTATTCTAGAAAACTAATCAAGGCAAAATTGTGAAGCTTTTGGGACAAAAATAGGAAAATTAGGAGCTCATCGTATTAAAATTTCAAAAGTTTCCAGTTGAAAACAGCAAGAAGAGAAATTTATGAAAATCAACTTTTAAAAACCGAAATAGTTATGCAAAAATGCAACCTCTTTACATTTTATTATTTTTCTAAAAAACTAATGAAGGAAAAAATTGTGAAACTTTTGGGACAAAAATGAGAAAAATTAGGAGCTCATCCTATTAAAATTTCAAAAGTTTCCAGTGAAAAACAGCAACATAAGAGAACGTTTAAAACCAAAAACTGTGCAAAAATTCACCCGCTTACATTTTATTATTTTTCTAGAAAACTGATCAAGGCAAAATTGTGAAGCTTTTGGGACAAAAAGAGGAAACTTAGGAGCTCATCGAATTAAAATTTCAAAAGTTTCCAGTTGAAAACAGCAAGAAGAGAAATTAATGAAAATCAACTTTAAAAACCGAAATAGTTATGCAAAAATGCAACCTCTTACATTTTATTATTTTTCTAAAAAACTAATGAAGGGAAAATTTGTGAAACTTTTGGGACAAAAATGAGAGAATTAGGAACTCATCCTATTAAAATTTCAAAAGTTTCCAGTGAAAAACAGCAACATAAGAGAAAGTTTAAAACCAAAAACTGTGCAAAAATTCACTCGCTTACATTTTATTATTATTCTAGAAAAACTAATCAAGGCAAAATTGTGAAGCTTTTGGGACAAAAAGAGGAAACTTAGGAGCTCATCGTATTAAAATTTCAAAAGTTTCCAGAGTTGAAAACAGCAAGAAGAGAAATTTATGAAAATCAACTTTAAAAACCGAAATAAGTTATGCAAAAATGCAACCTCTTACATTTTATTTATTTTTCTAAAAAAACTAATGAAGGGAAAATTGTGAAACTTTTGGGACAAAAATGAGAGAATTAGGAGCTCATCCTATTAAAATTTCAAAAAGTTTCCAGTGAAAAACAGCAACATAAGAGAAAGTTTAAAACCAAAACTGTGCAAAAATTCACTCGCTTACATTTTTATTATTTTTCTAGAAAACTAATCAAGGCACAATTGTGAAGCTTTTGGGACAAAAATAGGAAAATTAGGAGCTCATCGTATTAAAATTTCAAAAAGTTTCCAGTTGAAAACAGCCAGAAGAGAAATTCATGAAAATCAACTCTAAAAACCGAAATAGTT